GAAGGGGTAAAATTCTTTCTGCAGATATGATTATATACACAGAAGGCTCAAAGTGTCCATGAAAAAAACTCCTGGAAGTGATAAATAGATAAAATAATGTGGCAGGATATAAAATCAGCATACAAAAATATATAGCATGTCTATACACCAACAATGAGCAGACTGAGGTAGAACGGTAGAACTGAAGTATGCAATCCCATTTACAATAACTGGAAAAACTGCGGGATACTATGAATAAACCTTACCAAACAAATCAAAGATCTCTACAATGAAAACCATAGAAATCTGAATAAAAAAAGAAAGTGACACAAGTAAGTAGAAGGACATCCTGTGTTCTCGATCAGAAGAATTAATATAACAAAATTGGCAATTCTACCCAAAATAATCTACTTATTTAATGCAATCTCAAGCAAAGCATCACAGACATTTTTCAGATTGAGAAAAGACAAGCATAGAATTTTTCTAGAATTATAAAATACCTCATATTTTCTAGTAAATACTGTGCAAAAGTAATGAAGTAGAACCCTAACATATTTTGTCTGGCTGCAAAATATATCACAAAGTTATGATAATCAAAATAGCATGGTACTAGCACAAAAACAGGCATTTGGACCGATGGAAGAAAATTGTGACCCCAGAAATAAACCCCCAAATACACAGCCAGCTGATTTTTGACAAAGGACACCAGTAAATCCATTGGGAAAAAGAAAATGTTTTTAGCAAATGGTGCTGGAAAAACTGGATATCCACCTGCAGAAAGATGAAACTGGACTCCTATCTCTCATTATTAATGAAAATCAACTCAAGATTTATTAACGATCTATAAAACTACTGGTGGAATACACAGGGAAAACTCTTGGAGACATCAGAGTAGGAAAAGACTTCTTAAAAAAAGACTCCCAAAGCTCATACAATAATCCCCAAATTAGACAAGTGGGATTACATCAAGTTAAGAAGCTTCTGCACAGCAAAAGAAGCAATATTTAGTGTGACTCAACAACCTTGGAAATGGGACAATTTATTTGCAAACTATGCCTCAGACAAGGAACTGATAACCAGAATATACAAGAACTCAAACTGCTTACTCAGAAATATTTTTAAAAAATGATCAACCTAATTAAAATATGGGAAAATAAACTGACCAGAAAATTCTCTAAGGAAGACATACAAACAGTCAACTGACCAGACAGTTCTCTAAGGAAGACATACAAACAGTCAAAAGTGGATGAAAAATGCTCAACATCCCTTCTGATAAGGGAGATGTAAAACTAGCGGTATCTATTGTGAATGGTTAAATAATAACATAAACAATGATAAGTGCTGGAAACGCTGTGGTAAAAAGGAACTTTCCTACACTGTGGGAATGTAAATTAGTAAAGCTGTTGTGGAGAAAAATATAGAGGTTCCTCAAAGATTGACAAATAGAAGTACCACATGATCCAGCAATTTCACTTCTGGGTACCAACTCACAGGACAGAGTGTACTCAGTCAGCAATGCACTTGAACATTCATGGTTATTGCAACATTATATCCATTGCTAAGACATGAACCCAACCCAAATGTATACAAATGGATGAAAGGCTTGGAAAAATATGGCACATGGAATACACTATGGAATACCACTTGTCATAACACAATACCCTGACATTTTATAATAAGTATATGGATATAAAGACTTACTTCTGAGCAAAGCACGTCAGTCTATGAAAGAGAGACATCATATGTCTTCACTTAATACATACCAAATTCCACACTATGGCAGAAACTGAAATATTGGAGGACATACAAGTATGGAAAAATGGTTACAAATACTAGATACAATGTGGGAAGAGGATGGGAGCTGGGGGATGGTGAAAGGAAGAGAATCCAGGGAAAAATAGAGAGGATACACACCTGAGGGATGCATAAGTGGAAAACTTTCTCTTGATGATATAGTATATGACATCTTTAACTAGACTGGTGTGTAGTGTGTTCATGCTAGAAAAATTAGTTTTACAAGCTATGTTGATGTATAGTGATTAAATGTATGAAATTAATTTTTAAAATAATCAAGTTTAAAACTAAATAAAAGGAACAACTCCAACCCAAAATTCTACTAAGTTCACCATCAGTCTACTTCTTTTCTGATTCAGGTCACTTATGGTCCTTTTGATCCCATCCTAAGTGATAAAAACAAATTTCCATCAGTTTATCAGATGGCTACCAAGGAAAATTCTCTGGCTCATGGCATTATCTGGTTGTTGCTGCATTTTGCCTGGACATGGGTGGGTCTCTTTGTATCTAATGATATACAAGGGGAGCAGTTCCTTCAGGATCTGAAAGCAGAGGCAATGAAAAAGAATATTTGTGTGGCTTTTGTAGAAAGGCTCTTTGCCCCTTTAGGTATTGCTCTTCAGAGTGGTCTGTTTTCTCCGCTTAAGATCAGGGTTTCATCTGCAAACATATATATTATATATGGTGGTATCGAGAGTATCTATACATTCATAAAAGAAAAAGATACCTATTTAATTTTGGACAAAGTGTGGATCATGAAAAATCTCCACTCGTCAGAGTGGAATGACATTTTTTCTTTTATACATTTCACGCCATACTTATTTCATGGAAGCCTCTTATTTTCACACCAGAAAAGGAAAATCTCTGGCTTTGAACAATTTCTCAAGACAGTCAACCCAGAAGATGTTTACTTTAGGAAATTCTGGTTGAACTTTTCTAATTGTACATTTGTTACATCATTATGTAGAGGAACTAAAGTGGGCCCACCAAATTCTTCTCTGGAGTTTATGGCACCTGCTATAGACATGATGACTGTGTTTGAGTCTAGCTTTTTTGTCTATCATGCTGTGTATGTGGTGGCCCAAATTCTTCATGAGATGCTTTTTCAGATCACAGAAATGGGACCTCCAGAAGATGGAGACCAGCCTGTGATTCTTCCCTGGCAGGTAAACATCCTCCACAACCAGTACATACATCGGGCATCTGATAACATTGGGAGATATTTTAATATACAGTATCATGACTATGCTTCCTCTCTCAAGATAAACAGGCTCAGACAAAATGAAAAATAATTTTACATTAGGTCTAAGTATGTGGGTAATTGTTATAGCTACTTACAGAATTTTGTCACTGGGGACTTAGATTTTAAAACTATCATACCAGGGACCAGCAATTAGCATAATGGCTATGTCGCTGGACTCCCACATAGTCAACCGCGGTTCGAGTCCCGGACCCGGGGGCTTAAACTCACGCCGGGCGCATGTGCGTGCGTGCCCAAGATCCCAAGAGGAGAATGGAGGAGAAGGGATTACGGAGTGGCCATCCCCCCTGGGGAGTGATTTCTCGCTTTCTATCTCTCTGTCTCTCTCTGTCTGTCTGGCGAGCGCACGCGCCCTATAGCAAAAAAAAACTCTCCAAAAAGAGAAAAAAAAAAAAAAAACTATCATACCAGAGAAAATACTTCCTTATGTGAAATGAACTACTTTAAAATATCCACCAAAAGACTCTTGAGAAAACATAAATTAAAAATTGTCAATTTTACAATATATGTTTTCTAAAAATGTATCCAATGTCAATAAATACTGACTTAATGAGTATATCTGCCTCTAGCTATTTCATCTATTGTGATTTAAATGCTGTGGCCCAATCCCTCCATGTAATGTTTATACTGAGATCTGAAATCAATTTTACAAAATGTTCTAAAATGACTCATTGAAAGAATTTATTTTAGACTTAACTGTACTTACACTATATGTAAGAAACATGTGCGTGGGGACCATGGTTCGATTTTTAAAATATGAAACCACTTATGAGCATATAAGCTCAGAGTATCTTACTTATTTTAAAAATAAGTTTGTATTTTAAACTAGACATATCTAAATCCAAAAATTATGTATAAAATATTTTTACACAGAGAGGAAAAATACATTAGTCAAATATGTCGAGTAAAACAGTAAGTGAAATGTATATATACGTGTAAAATTAACATCTTACAGCTTAGTTCACCATCTAATTTCTTTTCCCTTTTTTTACTTTGCATGTGTGCTCCCAGGAGAGATGAATACAAAGAGACAGAGAAAAAGTGAGAAATCGCCACTCTTCTTCATTCTCCACTCAGGATTTTGGGTACATATGCACATGTACCAGGTGTGTTTTCCAAGCCACAGGATCAAGGATTTGAACTATGTAGTCGGCCATGGGAGATACAACTGCCTTAACCATACAGCTAAAAACTTACGGTTCCTCATTTAATTTCTTATTGCACTAACAAATAACATTTGATTTAAACTTTGAGAAATTTTAAAGTTGATTCTTAAAAGTGCATGCAATTCTGGTCCAGCAAGTAGCATGGAAGTTGAGGTGGCTGGATCCCACATGACTGACTCTGGTTTCAGTATCAGTCCTGTTGGCTTGAAGACATACCAAGTATGTGTGTGTGTATGCCCCAAATCCTGAGAAGATAATGGAGGAGTTATAACGTCGCCATTTCCCCAGGGTGATTTCTCACTCTCTCTGTCTCTGTCACTCTGGTAAGCATACACACCCTGCAGAATTTAAAAAAAAAAATAAGAAGAAGAACAAAACATGTACTTTTGTCAAGATGGAAGGATGGATGTCATTACAGATTACTTAAATTATTTTCATTACAAAAAATTAAACAAACTCATATAAGCAGGTAAAATTAATTTCTACAACAGAATGTCATTAACCCAAATGTTAGGAGTTTATCATTTAAAAAAAAAGACTTTAGAATTTCAAATTGTAAAATTTATATTTTGTTATAAATTATTTCTTGTAATGTCACACAACATTAAAAAAATAAAAAGAGAATAAGGTTAGCTCCATGACATCATGGTTAAGGCAGCCAGATTCTACATGACCAACTGGACATTTCAAGTCCTGGATCTAGTGGCCTGAGAATCATGCTAAGCATGCATGAATGCATGCCTAATTCCGAAAAGAAAAAGAGTTGGAAAAGTAAGGGTGTTGTGTGACAAGTCTTCCTTGGGGTTTCTTTCTTCTCTGCCTTTCTCTCGTCTCTGTTTCTCTCTGACAAGTTCATTCACCTACTATGCAGAAAAAAAAGGAAATGTGCATTTGTGGTTTAGTTTTTGCTGTATGGCACATGTGCTCACTAGAAAGAGAGAGAAGAAAGAGTGAGAATTAATGAAAAATCACACTGAGTGGCCATACTGCACACCCTTTTTCAGTCTCTTCTTGAGATTTTGAGCACACATACACACACACACACGTGCGTGTACGTGTTTCTCAAGCCCCAGGTCCAGGATTAAAACTGCACATTTGGTCATATGGGAGGCAGTGACCACAACCTCCGGGCCACCGGCTGGCCTTACTTGTTCTCATTGGCAATACAGTTTAGAGGTGTAATTAATTTCCATAAAGTTTGCCCATATATAATGCATATATTTGAGTGAGTTCATTCATTTATATAATAGTCACCATAATACAAAAATTATCCATCCATACAGTGCCCTTTTTGAAGTACCAAGATTAGCTTCTAAGAAGCACAAACCATACAAAAATTTATAGCATTGCTGTATACAAATAATGAGCAGACTGAGGCAGGGTTGAAGAAAGCAATCCCATTTAAAATAACCAGAAAAAATAAAAAAATAAAATGAAGATACCTGGAATACCTATCCAAAGAAGTCAAAGACCTCTACAAAAGAAACTATAAAATACTAAAAGAACAAATTAAAAATGACACAAAAATGGGAAAATACAGTGCATATTTCTGGATCAGAAAGAATAATATAATCAAAATGTCAATTCTACTTAAATTAATCTACATTTCCAATAAAACCCCAATCAAATGGCCAGAGACAGTCTTCACAGATTTAGAAAAAAACAATCACAGAATTTGTCTGCAATAATAAAAGACCCTTTTTTTGCCAAAGCAATACCGCACAAAAAGAGTGGAGTAGACGGCATTTTTTTTCCTTGACCTCAAAATGTATTACATACCCTTCTCTTCTCCCGCCATGTTTCACACTGTCTTACGAACTGTGATAATCAAAAGAGCATGTCATTGACACAAAGACAGACTTTATTAGTCTGCATTTTAGCAGTCTTTCCACAACCCTCTGGGATATATCCTACAATTTCTCTGATAAGACTGAATTACTTCCCCTGTTTTCATGGAGAAATCACTATATCTCATGAGCAATGATATAGTAACCACCAAAATCAAACTGAGCCTCTACTAAAAAACAAACAAAATACTGAAGAATAAGGAGGTGGACATAAAAGGATTACTGATTGTTATTCATCTTCCACCTCCAAATTAAATGCACTCTTAATTCCATTTCTGTGTGTATGTGCCAGTTTATTTTATTTTTTCCTTATAATTTATTTTTAATTTATTTATTTCATTTAAAAATTTATTTCCTACATTAAGTCACTGTGTATCATTAATTTCTAAATTGTGTCTCTCATTCAGCTTCATCCATTTCTGAGGAAAAGCCAATTTATGCATAATACTGGATACAACCTGTCCCTAGGAAAAAAAAGAAACCATGATGAACAATATGGTATCTACAACTTAGTGAGGTTTCCTAATGAGAATTTCACCAGTTGGCTGCTGGTTAAAATAGGAGACTTTATTTACAGAAACCCCTATGATCAAGACTTGATCATCAATGAAGAGATGATAAAATGGCCTGTTAGTTTCAAAGAGGTACAATATCATTTCTACATTACATTTATACAGAGTTATTTGAATAGTCTTGAAGTGAAATTGTGTGACTACAAATCAGGATTAAATTAACCTTTTGCATCTTGACTTTGCACTACGTGATTTTGCTTCTATATATCTTACTCTGTAAAGATAGCAAGAACAGGTTTATATAAACTTCCATTTTTAAATTTAGGTATATTTGTTTAAAGCAGCAGTCCAATGAATAAAATCAACAAGTTTATTAATGAATCAATCATTCCTTAATGAGAGGAATGTGTTCTAAGAAAAGAATCATTAGGCAATTTTCTAATTGTGTGAACATCATAGATTGCATTTATACAAATCTAGATGGTATTGCCTACTACAAACAGAAACTCTATAGCCTATTATCTCATGGGATGACTGCCATGTGTATATCTTATCATTGACTAAAATGTTTTATGTCTTTATAAAACCCATGACTCTCATACGTATGTCTGAGTTAAAGACAATTACTCTATATATCCTGAAACTATCCTTAATTGCCAACCTTTATTATACTTCAGTATACTGCACACACAAGTAGATTACAGATTAAGAAACTATTTACCTTTCTGTAGATAGCATACGCTTTTCCTTTTGTCATTTTGTATACCATTCAGCCTTCAAGATTTCTTGTACTAAGTGTATCAAAGCACTACCCATAATCTCAAGGAATTAGATCAGACAAGTGATTTATACAACCATCACACTTTGCACACCTATCATTTTCATATCTGAAAAGCAGATATTACCTGGACTCAGAAACCCAGAAGTGATTAACTTTAATTCATGATTCACAACATATGCTCATCATTTATCTGTTTGACCATAGATTTAATATCATTTACCTTTGATAATGTGCCCATGTACTACATTATTATATATTTTCTTAAACATATAGCACCTGAAAGTGTTTTACTCAACCAACTATGAGAGCAAGGCATGAATATTCTAGAAACATTTATCAGAAGTTTGCCATGTAGGAACTTGCAGCAAAATGGTTTTGGATAAAGTAGTTAAATAAGAGAAGAGAATAACCTAATGTATAATTCTGGTCATGTATGAAATAGAGTAAGCAAGTCACTTGGTAATATTAGTGAACAGTTTATAAGTGAAAAAGAAAGCTAGTCATAGACATTCTATTTTTTTAAGAGGTTTTTGCTATAGGGCATGTGTGCTCACCAGAAAGACAGAGAGAGAGAGACAAAAAGTGAGAAATCACCCCTCCCCCCCAGGGGTTATGGCCATGCCGCAATTCCTTCTTGTCTGTTTTCCTTTCAGGATCTTGGGCATGCACACACACACACATGCCCGGCGTGAGTTTAAGCCACCGGGTCTGGCACTCGAACTGAGGTAGACTACATGGGAGTTCAGCCACATAGCCATTACACTAACTGCTGGTCCCATCATAGACATTCTTGAAGGGCAAATTGTTCTGTGGTCTCTTGATTAATCAACCAGAGCTCACATGATTGATTAAAAAGTGTGAGTCCTGGACCAAGTTGTAAAAAAAGACACTAGGTACAAGTGCATGCATGTCCCAAATCCTGAAAGGACTGATGAGGTGAAAGAACTGCAGTGTGATCAACCATTCCCCATTGAAGGGGGTTCTCTCATCCCTCTCTTTCTGTCTTTGGTGAGTGCAAGCACCCTCTAGCAAAACAAATAGCCTACATGATATCAACAGGGTGGTAGAAAAAGAAATAATAAAATATATTTTAAGGACAAATTTTTCTCAGAGGTGGAAAGAAATAACACCCCTTCAAAGCTGCTGATAATGTACATAATGATGACTGATTCTCTTTTCTGCTCAGACTCCTGAATCTGTGTGTAGCCAAAGCTGTGGTCATGGACTCCAGAAAATTTACCAAAGAGGAAGACCTGATTGTTGCTTTATTTGTGTTTCTTGCCCAGACAGAGGCATTTCAAATCAAACAGGTATTAAATAAGTACCCTATAATACACAAACCCCTGTTTCTCAGTAAAAAGGAAAGCAACAATACTGGAAATGGAATATAGAGCACCTTTGTTCTCAAGTTACATATTCACTCATCATTTCAATATACTTATAAACACAATTATCTCCCTATTACATGTCAGCCCTTTTCTGGTTTTACATATCCTGTTAGGCTCCATTGTTTAACTGATTTCAATGGACACTTTGATTTGCAATCCAGGACTGGGTAAGAGAGTGTCAGTCTTAGATCTGGTACTAGATCATGCTAAAAATCTACCCATATGATGGAAAATGTGTAACCATCAAGGCTTTCTGAGGATTTCTAAAAGGCTCAAAATTGACAGCTTTATATCCAGATGATAAACACAAAGGAAGTACATTAAATTATTATAAAAATAATTTATAACTTTTAACAAAATATATGCAATGTATTAATGACACAAAACTAACCAATATCAGAACCTTACACTTTGAAATATTATAATATACAGGGCCAGCAGTTGGCATGATGGTTAAAGGCACTGGACTCCCACATGGGCGACTGCTGTTCAAGTCCCAGAACTGATGACTTGCTTTCTCACCCCAACTCCCCTCTCTCCCTCTTTGATCAAAAAGTTAAATAATAATAATAATAATAATAAAGTTATAACAAAATAATTCTTTAAAAAAAGAAATATACTGAGAATAATACACATCTAAAATTGAAAGATGCAACATTCTAATAAATTTCACAGTATGACACCTCAAAATATAGCTATTATATGAGATATAAATTCAAGAAGCTATATATAAAAATTGTGGTATTGACAGATATGAAATGTGGAATGACTCATTAAATCAGCTTTCCATTTTGTAACATGTAAAGAATAATTATTAACAATGATTTGAGTTCGTCCACAAGTATTGGGTAATTTCAGTCCTCAGAACAGTATAAACAATTCAGGTTTAATCACTAACTGGCATATATAGATATGGGGCCAGCCAAGTGGCCTGGTAGTTAAGGCAGCTGGATCCCACATGTCCAACAGTGTGGTTCAAAATCAAACTGGTAGATTAAAGAAAATGCTAGGAATGTCAACACACATGCCCAAGGTCCCCAGGGGAGAATGCAGAAGTAGTTGTGGCATGTTCATACTCCCTAGGGACAATTGCTCCTTTCCCTCTCTTTGTACATTTTGCAGCAAAACTTTATTTAAAAAAATAAGTACATATGTTTAAGTGATAAGCCATGGAAAAATAATTACTCTTGGCTCTAATGAAAAAATTTCAACATCAAGTAAGTAACAAGAAATAAAAATAAGGGAAGCAGAGCATAAGACTCAGAATAAAATGTTTTTATGTTTGTGTAGGCCAAACCTGTCTTAAATAGAAGCCAGGAGAATCTGTTGATTCTAGAAATAGAAAAGGGTATTTAAACAAAAAAAAATGTGATAATCATTCTGTAGCTCTTTGAGCATATTATATTACTGCTTCAGTATTAGTTGATACAAGCTTTTGGGCCAGCAGGTGGTGTGGCAGTTAAGGTACTTGATTTCCACATGGCTAGATGTAGTTTGAGTTCCAGACCCAGCATGTAAGCCTGTGTGTCTAAAATCCCAAGAGAAGAATGGATTGTGGTGTGACCATTCCTCTGGGAGTTGTTTCTCACTTTCCCTCTCCCTTGGTGTCTCTCTGGTGAGTGCATATACTCTATGGCAAAATCCTAAAATAAATAAATAAGAACTTAAGAATGGAGAAAGAAAACCAGCCAGGTATTTCTGTAAGTAAAGTGTAATCAAAACACTTACATACCAATTAATTTCCACATGCTCAATGACTGCTTCCATGCTTTCTACAATAGAGGTGAGCTGTTGGAACAGAGACATTATAAGTCAATCTGTGCAGAGTTATAAGTATTTACCTATCCCTTACAAAAAGGATTAATAAGTCCTACTTGTAGATATAAACTGAAAATTCAAAAATTAAATGTATTCCTCTATAACATGATTAAAATAGCAATTTTGCAAAGTATAAAGATGTAAGAGCAATAAAATTCCATTCAAATTACTAATGTTAAATTAATCAATTAATTTTAAGCATTTGCATGGAAAAATATACAAGTATATTGACCACAAAAGAAAAAGTGCAATGAGAAAAATCTTGTATTACTAGATATTGGGTTATATATAAAAAATAAATAAGGTAGTGATAAAAGATAAAATATCTCAGGAGAAATTGGAAATATTTTTCTGAACACAAAATAAAAAACAACTCATTCATTTCTATCATGCCAAATAAAATTATTATAAGTCATCAGAATAAAAACCCTATCCTAAGAAAAATCCAGGGTAAATTAGAAAAGAGATCTGGAATAAATTCTCACTCTTCCTAACATCATTGAACCAAGGATGAGCCAACCCAGATCCTTGTATGCTGAGATCCTATTTCAAAGGTTTGAAGTAATCTGCAGCTCAAAGAATCCTCACAGGGTCAATGCAGAACCTTAATTTAGTGCATTTTGGTTCACATCAGTGCCCAGACTTGCTCCACAGAATGCATTTTACTGAGTGGGAGGGCTTTGGATTGAAAATAAACATAAAAATAAACACACAAAGATATGCAAGTATAAAAATGTGAGGCGCGGGTGGGCCTGACTTCTCTTATGGAGAAACCTATGATTCAGAACCAGTGTCAAGTTTACTATTTTATAGAGCAGAAAATGAGGGAAGATAAAAGGTAATGCAAAACCAGTTGTTTTCAGATGTTACTCAGTTGATGATGGCAGGACAACTGGCACCAAGTAATCTCTCTGATCTTTTGGGGCTGATTCTGATAAACACACGTGACTCCCTGTAACCAGATACTGCTCTGTAGTATCAATAACAGCATGCAGCTAGTATTTTCACATGTTTATTGCTTTCATTACCATGTAAATAACAGCTTACAGAACCACATTTATACATGTGTCTGAAGGTCACCATGTTTGCTTAGATGACCAGTCTCCACAAATTAGGGGCTGTCTGCACTCAAATGACACAAAAATTGATCATTTCCTTTAATATTACACAAATAAAGAATCTGTGAAATTGAAATGCTGACTCTTTCCTTTTCCACCAGATGCAGAGGAGTGTATCCAATGCTTAGTTCAAGAGTATCCAAACAGTGAGAGAACACAATGCCTCCCCAAACCTGTGATATTCCTGGATTTTGAGGATTCTTTGGGGATAGCCATGGCCTGCATGGCTCTGTGTTTCTCTGTGGTCACAGCTATAATTTTGGGGGTCTTTGTGAAGCACCGAGACACTCCTATAGTTAAGGCCAATAACCAGACTCTCACTTTCATCCTGCTCATCTCTCTCCTCTTGTGCTTTCTCTGCTCTCTGCTGTTCATTGGTCATCCTAACACAGCCACCTGCATCCTCCAACAAGTGACATTTGCCCTTGTGTTCACCATAGCCATTTCCACTGTTTTGGCCAAAACCATTACTGTGATTCTAGCATTTAAGGCTATGAAGCCTGGAAGAATACTGAGGTACTTCCTGCTATCAGGAGCTTCCAACTCTGTCATTCCCATTTGCTCCCTGATCCAAGTGATTATCTGTGTGATCTGGCTGGGAACTTCTCCCCCTTACATTGACATAGACTTACACACTGAGCCCAGAAGCCTCATCATCATGTGCAACAAGGGCTCGGTCACTGCCTTCTACTGTGTCCTGGGATACCTGGGCATCTTGGCTCTGGGGAGTTTCACTGTGGCTTTCCTGGCCAGGAACCTGCCTGACACATTCAACGAGGCCAAATTCCTCACATTCAGCATGCTGGTGTTCTGCAGTGTCTGGATCACCTTCCTCCCTGTCTACCACAGCACCAAGGGGAAGTTCACGGTGGCTGTGGAGGTCTTCTCTATCTTGGCCTCCAGTGTAGGACTCCTAGGCTGCATCTTTGCCCCCAAGTGCTACATTATTCTAATAAGACCTGATAAGAACTCCTGGAAAACTTTGAAAAATAGAAGAGGTCCTGGAGAAAACAGGCATTCTAAGATTTGATCTCACAAGAGAGTATCACAATTTTAGGGTTTTGAACTAAAAAAGTACCCCAATTATATATTCTCATAAGGTAACTGAATATGATTGATTTTTTAAATTCATACTTTAAAGCAATCATTATGTAAATCTAATCTTAATTGTTAAATTTACAAATATAAATCAGCTCATATCAATTGCTTTTTCTTATATTATGGATATTGATTGATAGCTACCTTTTATTAAGTATTTATTATTTATAATGTTCTCCTAGGCACCTTATTTTTGTTTTGGGGAAAGATTTTTGCTATACAGTGTGTGCGCTCACCAGAAACACAGAGAGACAGAGAGACAGAAAGTGAGAAATCACCCCCCAGGGAGGATAGCCATGTCACAATCCCTTCTTTCCTATTCTCCTCTTAGGATCTTGGGAACACACGCACAAGCATCCGGAGTGAGTTTAAGTCCCCAGGTCTGGAACTCGAACCACGGTCTTAGAAATAATGTCTGATTTCCATATTTGATTCATTAGTTTGTATCTTCTTTCTCTTTTCTAGGATGACCTATATAAAGTTCAGTTTCTTGATATTAAAGAACCAGCTAGTAGTTACAATGATTCTCTGTTTGGTTTTCATATCTTTGTTAAGATTCATTCTAATCTCAATATCTTTGTTGCTGCTAGCTTTTAGTTTTCTCTGCTCTTTTTGCAGTTTCCTGATGTGTAAACTAGAACTAATCTGATGTTTTTCATCTTTTTGTTCCATTTCAGAACATTTTATTTTACCCTTTTTATAAGTTACTAAGTTTACAAACCTGCTATATATCTTACGTAAATGTGGGAAAACTGCTTAGAGTTGCAAAGCACAATAAAATAGCTACAGGAAGAGAAAAGTAAATATGCCCATTAAAACAAAGTTATAGCAGCTGGCAGCAGTTAAAATTGGTAATTTGCATTTTTAAAAAGTCG